ACCATCGTCGAAAACAGGCCTGGAAAGACCATCGTCGAAAACAGGTCCGAGATATTTGGACAGACTTATATCGCAAACAGCAGCGGCATCGGCGTCGACCAGCAGCAGGGGTAGCTAGTAGTAGTAGTAGTGGCGATGATGGCGGCAGTGGCGGTGGTTGCAGTAGCGGTGGGATCGGTGATTCTGGCAGTGGTGGTAATGGTGGCCACGGCGGTGATGACAGCGGTGGCGTTGGTTATAGTGGTAATGTTGTAGCAAGTGCAGCAGCAACCAGCAGTTGTTGTAGTGGTAGTGGTGATATTCGTCGTCGTCGTTGTTGTGGCGGTTGTCGAAGCGGGAGTCGGATTCTCGCTGCGCTCCCGCAGGGCGCAATCTACCTGCCTCCTGGAGAGGATGGAGCGGAGTGAAAGAGAGAGCGAGAGAGAGAGAGAGAGAGAGTGTGTGTGAGAGAGAGAGAGAGAAAGAGAGAGAGAGAGGGGACAGAAGGGGAGGAGGAGGAGGAGGAGGAGGAGGAGGAAAACGACGACGAAAATGGGGAAGAGAAGCGCCGAAAGGTTGGTCTCGGGAGGGGCCGCGAGCCATACATGCATGCATGCATGCATGCATGCATGCATGCATACATACATGCATGCATGCATGCATACATACATACATACGTACGTACGTACATACATACATACATACATACATGCATACATATATATATATATATATACAAGAGAGCGTGACCCACCGCCGCTTTACTGTGGAAAATTCCCCCCAAAGAGGAAAACGAGGGAAGGGTAGAGGCTAGCAGTATGGGTACCCTCTCCTCCTCTGACGAGCGTTGCCCCCCGAGCCCTCCGTCCTCCGCTTTGGTTGACCCAAAAGGGGGTCCAGCTGAAAGGGGGTGGCGCAGTGGATTTGGGACAGTTGTGTTGAAAACGTTCTGCGCCAGAGAATTGGAATGCATCGTATTGCAACTAATGTGTTGCACGCGAACATCCAGCAACACATTTGCGCACCGGCATATACTGCACGGCCCCAGATCTATGGCAACCCCACAAATCAGTTGCACCAAATCCGTTGCACCGCCCTCCTTGCGCTGGAGCCCCTTCCTCGCCATCATCGCTCGGACGTCACCTCCCCGTGCATTTTCCGGTTTCGCGCGCGCTTCTGCTCTCAGTATCGTTTAACCGATCCCCATCTCCAGCGGCGTGGCCTGGGCCCCACTGGCCGATTTGTCCCCATAGATGGGGACATAGGTCGCTCCCTTCGGGTTTCGAGGGGTGTATCCCCAACTGGGGGTGCAATTTGGTGGGGGTCTCGAAGGGGATGGGGATGGGGATGGGGGTTGGTGAAACGATACTGATGCTCGCAGGATGGTCCAGATGCTCCTCGATGGCTCTCGCCGAAACCAAAAAACCGCACGCCCGAGCGATGCCGAGCTCTTGGGCCTACCAGGAGCCGCTCGCGCCCGTCCCCCCCATCGAGGAGGAGAAGGAGGAGGATGAGGAGGAAGAGGAGGAGGAGGAGGAGGAGGAGGAGAAGGAGGAGGGGGAGGAGGAGGAGGAGGAGGAGGAGGAGGGGAGGATGATGATGAGGAGGAGGAGGAGGAGGAAGAGGAGGACCCCGGGGCCGGCGCCTCGCGTCGGGAGGCGCCTCGGGCTGCGCCTCCGGGGGCCGCTGCGCCGCGGGCTCCTCACCCGCGGGCGGCTGCGGCGCCTCCTCCGAGGAGGGCGCCCGAACTGGGTACGGAAAGCGTGGGTACAATGCCCAGCAGCAAATGCTGTCCCACACCACTAGCGGCCGCTGTTGGGCAGGCGGCCTCCTGTCTCGAACGGACACAGGCCGCGGCGGCGCGGACAGCGAGTCCTGTTCAGAATGGACAGGATCCGCTGTTGGGCACTGTGCCCACTCTTTCCGTGCCCGTTTCGTTCGTGCCGAGCCTCCGAGGGCGCCAGCACGGAGATCAGGGGCGCCGGCGTGGGCCGGAGCTGCGGCCACTCCTGGGGGCGAGGCCGCGCGGGGCGCACCCAGACCGCGGGCGTCTCGAACAAAATCGAGGCGGAGGTGTTTCGTCGCTTGCAGCCTCTCAACCAAAGACTCGGAGTGAAAAACCGGTCCCGGGGAAGCGGTCGGGAGGTCGGGGGCCCGCGTCGCGAAAAAAAAGCGAGATGGGGCTCGTGTCTCGACAAAATCGAGACGTCGGACATGTGGGCAGGCCTCGAGTGGGGGGGGTCGACCACAGAACTGATGTTGACCCCAGACTCGAGTCTTTCGCCGCAGCAGTGAAGAAAGTGCAGAGTGTTCCGCAGATCAGCGGGACATTCTGCACGTCTGTCGCTGTTTCGGCGAAGGAATGAACTTCTGGCGCGCATCAATGCTGCAGTCGATCCCCTACTCGAAGACTTGCGTATATCAATACTGCAGAGTAGACTTCTGCCGTATATCAATACTGACATGTTCGCGGCGTGAAGAAATCACGATAGCAGGTGGTTCGTCGTTTGCAGCCTCTGGGGCCCGTCCTCCTGGGGCACCAGGGCCGTCCGAACACGGCTCAGGATGAGAAGCCGGCGTGGGCCAAAGCTGCGGGGATAAAATTGGATGAGGATAAATCGTGAGTCTCTGAGGTCCAGCGGTTCTGGAGGACGTCTCGGGCGCCGCGGCCTTCTCACAGCGTTTCGGAGCGCTCGGGGAGCGTACCAGAACGCTCTGGAACGGATTTATTCTCGTCCGAGCCCCGCCAGGCGATGAGGGGGGACTGGCATAGGGGGGACAGATCGACGTGAAATCGGCGATGCACCGCCGATAGATCGGCGATAGGCCCCCGATAGTGGATCCGCGCGTTCCAGCGGAGCTGCTGAGTGCTGGGGTCGAGCTCTGGGCCAGACGAAAGGGTCGGGTGTTTCGAGGAGTGCCCCTGGCCAACAAGGTGCCCGCAGGACTTCCAGGAAGGCTCCCACGGCCTCTGTGTACCAGCGGCAACCCGCGGGAGTAGAAGTCGAATAGGGGATCGACTGCAAAACTTATTTACTCCAAAATTAGCTCTCCCGCCGAATATACAAGAAACGCGTAGAAACGGGACATTACACGCATGTTTCGTAGATTCTGCGGGGAAATATGTTGGTGTAAATCAATTCTGCAGTCAATCCCCTACTCGAAGAAGGTGCCCTCCCGAGAGAGGACGACCCCAAAACGCCTCCAAGAGGCTCCCACCCAAAACACCCTAGGTGCCCCAAAGAGCCCTCCAAGAGGCCCCTGAGAGGCATCCCAAGAAACCCTCAGATGCATCCAAAAGGTCCCTGACCAACTAGATAACAGAACGTCCACGATTGGGACAATCTCTCACTCCTTCTGGGGGTCGGCGAAATGGCGTAAGACATTTGAATATGACAACTCTCGGGGGGACGAAAGGGTAGGATAGCAAAGGGTAGGGTAGAGAATCAACCCGCGCAGCTGGTTCTCCTGGCGCCTCCTCGCGCCGGGAGGCGCCCATGTATCGAGGAAAGGGCCCGGCGGCAAGGCGGAGACCAGCTGCAGGCAGCAGACGCCGTAACCTCTCCTTTCTCAATCGCTCCCTGTCGTACAGAGAAATTCCCTGGGATCCAAGCTTTCCAGAACGATCCACATGTGAACCCTACCCCTGCAGGTCAGATGTTCCTGAAAACCTGGCCAGGGCCCAGAATCTGAAGGATGTCTGCAGCCAAGCCGATCATCTCAACGATGTCTGACCCCGGCGCCGATCGGGCCCGCAGGGGTAGGGTCCGCTCCACCACCACCACCACTGACCTGAGCATCCAGACGCACGCGTGGGCAGAAACGCGCAGAAAACGTTGCAGAGTGATCGCGTGCACACAGAGCCTCGACCGCGAAGAAGGACAACGGAGCGCCCCACGACTGCGAAGCAGGAAACGAAGCGCCCCGCGACTGCGAAGCAGGAAACGAAGCGCCCCGCGACTGCAAGGCAGGAAGCACAGCGCCCCAACGACTGAAGCAGAAGGCAAGAGAAGACGGAGCAGAGCGGTGGCAATTCCAGCCAGGCAAGCTATATGGTGTCTGGACTTTTTTTTCCATACAGTTGGGGCGTTGACTTGAGGAACGATAAGTAAGGAACGAAGCCCCTTTTTCCACATAATAAACTTCGATTCCCCATCGGTAGACTGCAAAACGACGAAGGAACACCGAGCCCCTCCCAAACGAAACAAGGGTTCCTTCTTCAGCGCAGACGCGGCCCCCCGAACGCCCCGAGTCGTCTTTGTTACGGTCCCGGGGCCCTGCGAGGACCTCCAAAAGGCCGAGACGGCCAAACCAGAAGAAGAAAAAGCGCCATACACACAAACATCAACTTTTGGCGCTCCGCGCGGAGTTCTTGGATCTAGGCTGGACCCCCCTCCCTGGCGCGCGGAGCGCGCCAGGGGTGGCGCCGGAGGCGCCGCCTGGAGGGCCCAGCGCGGATCCAAGAAATCCGCGCGGAGCGCCAAAACTCTATGTTTGTAGCGTTTTTTTTACTCCTGCGACAAGCGCACGCCCCGTCGCGCGTGACTCTTCGCGACGCGGGCCTGCCTGGGAGAGCCCCGCGCCGATCGGGCCCCGCAGGGCCGAGAGCCCGCGGGCCCGGGCGCCAAAGTTATCCCGGGTAACTCGGGCCCGGGGTAACTAAAGGGAAATTAGGACACACAAATAAATACACACAAATAAAAATAGTCCCCATATTTTCCCATATTTTCTGGGTTTTTGTCTTCCCCCCCACTTCCCATATTTTCTGGGAAATCGGCAATTAATTGTGTCTGTGTGTTTCTTTCTCTCCTGAGTAACTCGGGTTTGGATTCCCGAAAAAAGGACCTCGAGTTAGCCCTGACCCGAGTTACCCCTGCTGATGTGGGGCTCTGGGCGCCCGAATCATCCGGGGTAGCTCGGGTCCGGGGCAACTCGGGCTCGGATTCCCGAAAAACGAACCCGAGTTAACCCTGACCCGAGTTACCCCTGATGGTTCGGGGCTCTGACGGGCGGTGTCGAATCTCCTCTGGCGCCGCCGCGGCAGCAGGCTGCGCCGCGGGGAGCCTCGCCGCCGGCGGAACCACCCCGGGCTGCACCGCCTCGGCCGGCGCCGCCGCGGACGGGGCTGCCGCGGACGCCGCGGAGGACGCTGCCCCCGAGGGCTCCTCCGCAGGCTTCACCTCCTCCTCCACGGGAAGTAAAGCTTCCCAGACGCGCTCGCGTCAGGCACAGGATCACCGCGGGAGGTTTTTTTTCGCTCTGCGAGCCCCTGGGCGCCCGTCCCGGGCCCCAGGACCGTCGAAAAACGACTCGGGATGAAAAGCCAGTCCCAGAGAAAGGGGGAGGGGGAGGGGGAGGGGGTCGGGACTTCCAGGGACTTTGGCTGGACAGAAATCAGGACGTCGCATGTCTGGGTTCGGGTTGCGCGCAGACGGCCCCACCTGGAAGTCCCGGCTGGCCTCAACCGGCCCCACCGAGCAGTCCCAGCTGGCCTCACCTGGGCGGTCTCAGCACCGCGGCGCCGCCTCCAGCGGCGCCCATGACGCGCTCCGCGCCCCAGGGCTGAGGTGTTGGGACGTTCGGGGGGCCTGTTGACGCCAACCAGGACTGTCTGGGGGGGCTGCTTGCACGCAGTCCGCAGCCGTACCACTCCTCCACATACTGCCCGTACACGTTGAGCCGGGCACCCTTCTTCATCGCCCTGACAGGCTTGTTTGCCTTGTACACCCGCTGCCCGTACATGTTGAGCCGGTACGGGAGCTCCTCCGCCGGGGCCGCGCGCTCGGCCTCCGCGTTGCGGTCGGCCTCCTCCTTGGCCAAGCGCTCAGACTCGGCCACGCGATCAGCTGCCGCCTTGCGCTCGGCCTCCTCCTTGGCCAGGCGCTCGGCCTCGGCCGTGCGCTCAGCCTCCTCTTTGGCCAGGCGCTCGGCCTCGGTCTTGCGCTCGGTTTCCGCCTGGCGGTCGGCCTCCTCCTTGGCCAAGCGCTCGGCCTCGGTCTTGCGCTCGGCCTCCTCCTGGGCCAAGCGCTCGGCCTCCGCTACACGCTCGGCCTCTTCCTTGGCCAGGCGCTCGGCCTCTGCAGCGCGCTCGGCCTCGGCTTGGCGCTCGGCCACCTCCTTTGCCAGAAGCTCGGCCTCGGCCTTGCGCTCGGCCACCTCTTTGGCCAACCGCTCGGCCTCGGCCTTACGGTCGGCCACCTCCTTGTCCAAACGCTCGGCCTCCGCATTGCGCTCGGCCCTCTCTTTGGCCGAGCGCTCGGCCTCGGCATTCCGCTCGAGTTCCGCCTTACGCTCAGCCTCCTCCTTGGCCAGCCGTGACGCCTCCACCTCAGAACTCTCGTCCGGCGCCTTGGGAGCCTCCTCCGTCGCCTGACTGGGAAGTCCAGGGACAACCGTGGGAGGGGCCGGGGGCAAGCTCATGTTAGGGCCTGGTTAGGCAACTACCAACATGAAGTGTACGTGGATGGACGGCCTTCTAGACCTCGGAGGCTTTAGAGGGTATTTGCGCACGGGGCGCGTTGAAATTGTGATGGTATGGAAGGTCGTCCATCACTTGGAACAATAACCACAAAAAAGATGGGCCACGACGCTTGTCGACGCGCCAAGTGCTGGGGCGCGGGCGGTGGCCATCTCAGAAGGCAGGGGGCTCTTTGCAACGGCTCGGAGGCTCCCAAGAGGGCCCCTTGGCAGCCCCACGGTGTCCTCAAGAGACCCCCCCGCCTGCCTCGAAGGCCCCCCCCCGTGCCCCAACCAATGCTGCGCGCGCCGCCGAGAGGCGCACTTCATCCTCCTTTCCCCCCGTTGTCCAGATCTACTCGGCCTGGCCCGCCTGGGCCTCGCGCGCCTCCCGGGCGGCGCTGTCACTCACGAGCCTGGGGACGACACGGGCCTGGGACGAAGCGGGTCTTGTACCGAGCAGGTCTGGGCGGAAGAGGGCCTGGGTCGAACCGAGCCTGGAGAGAAGCGGGTCGGGGCGCGAGATGAAACTAGTATATGTGCCGGCTCGGGCCACATCAGGGGCAAACGGGAAGGATGGGGAGTTCCCCGCCCTCCTCCTCTTCTTCCTCCTCCTCCTCCACCTTCTAATCAGCTTGAGCCTGCTGTGCTACAGCACGACCGCTCGACCCGAAATCGAATCGTCGGCAGCACAGACCTGGCCGAATTCAATGACACAGTGCCTGCGGGGGACAAGGGAAGGACATGCAACACGTTATAGAGATAGTACGCAACAACTGTAACACGAAAATATTCTTTCGACGGACGCCAAACACCGAGTCGAACGATAGGTTCCCCATCGACAAGGTGGCCCACAAGGGCTGGACCAATAATGCCAGAATCGGTCGGCACCGCCAGGGCATCCTGAAATGCAGCCCGCGGCCCCCTGCAATCTCTGACTCGCACGCTAGTAACCCCTGAGAGTCTTGAGGACGGCGGATCTCCAAGAGGGAGGAAGGGGGCGAATCACGCCACGAACTTTTTCCCAGTCCACGTCATCGATCGTGTTTTGACATCCGGGCTGGCTGAGAATGGCTGGAGAGACAGCGCCGCGGGAACATGATCCGAGAGCCCGCCCATGTCCGCTGGAACTCCCAGCGTCCGAGAAGCACGGGACAGAACGCACCGTTCGCCAGGTGGACCGCTGGCGCACGTGCGGTCGGGCCTGGAAAGCGAGACCACATACGTCCTATCGTCTCCCCGGCCGTCTACACGATGTGAAAGAGAAGCCTGGTCAACCTCCGTCAAGTTCGGGATGAGCCGATCAAATTCCTTAGCAGAGGACTGGCCGTGAGCCCTCGCACGCCGTGGTGGTGGCTGCCCTCACCGCCAGCATGAAATATAGAATCGCCGAGCAGCAACTGCGTTGCATGGCACTCGGGATTGAGGCCGCGACGAGTCTGACAAAGTTGCTGCTGTTTAGCAACAAGCCGATGAGCGGACTCGATGTGTACGATATTTGTTTGTAAGTTTTCAGACTGATTGTGTAGAGCGAGGGCATGTATGCGTCCGCGCCCGTTAATGCGATGACACGCGCGAATGAACTTGCGCTGAGGCTGAGGGCGAACGAAGATGAAGCAACCGCTAGAGGAGATGGAGTCAAAGAAAGAACCGGCACCGAACGCCCGGTAAACTTCCATGCGCGAGTACCCGAGGCGAGAATACGACCCACGAGCCTCTTGGGCACAAGTGATACCGCTACGACTACCCATCGAGTGATACGGAGTTTGGGGGGCGCGCATGGGGAGGGAGAGAACAACTTACTGCTGGCCAATGCGACGGGCGTGATGATGGCGATGATGCAGGCGCGCCCTCGGGTTAGCGTCGATGCGCGATGGCCACACTTCTCCAGCTGTGCTCCTCCTCCACCTCTCTCGGGAGGAGCAGCAGCCTCAGCAGCAGCAGGCGGGGGAGAACAGAGGGAGATGGGGAGGTAGAGGTCGAACCGAGGGAGAAGGGCGGGGAGGCACGGGAGAGAAAAGGTCAGCGGGAGGGCGGGGAGCATGGGGGAGCAGGAGGAGCGAGAGGAGGGGAACGAGGACAAAGAGGGAAACGATGATGACGGCAGTCGTGTGCCCTTGGAGGGCTGGACCTCCAAAAGGCACGCGACGGGGGGCGGCGCCGCCTGCGTCTGCTCCGCCGGCGGCTGCGCCTCCGTGGGCTGCCCAGAGGGGTCCTGTGCCGCAGCCAGGCCACCCCGCCGAGCTGCCCTTGCCGAGGACTCCTCCTCCTCCGCGGCCGCCTGCTGTTCAGGCGTCGGCTCCGTCCCCACTGGCTGCTCCTCGCGAGGGTCCACCTCTCTCGGGAGGGGCAGCAGCAGCAGCAGCAGCAGCAGCAGCAGCAGCAGCAGCAGCAGCAGTTGCAGCAGCAGTTGCAACAGCAGTTGCAGCAGCAGTTGCAGCAGCAGCAGCAGCAGCAGCAGCAGCAGCAGCAGCAGCAGCAGCAGCAGTTGCAGCAGCAGCTGCAGCAGCAGTTGCAGCAGCAGCAGCAGCAGCAGCAGCAGCAGCAGCAGCAGCAGCAGCAGCAGGTGGGGGAGAACAGAGGGAGATGGGGAGGTAGAGGTCGAACCAAAGGAGAAGGGCGGGGGGATGGGGGAGAGGAAAGGGGAGCGGGAGGACGGGGAGGATGGGGGAGCAGGAGGAGCGAGAGGAGGGAAACGAGTGAGGCACGCGACGGGGGGCCGCGCCGCCTGCGTCTGCTCCGCCGGCGGCTGCGCCTCCGCGGGCTGCCCGGCTGGGTCCTGTGCCGCAGCCAGGCCACCCCGCCGAGCTGCCCTTGCCGAGGACTCCTCCTCCTCTGCGGCCGCCTGCTGTTCAGGCGTGGGCTCCGTCCCCACTGTCTGCTCCTCGCGAGGGTCCACCTTTCGCAGCAGCAGCAGCAGCAGGCGGGGGAGAACAGAGGGAGATGGGGAGGTAGAGGTCGAACCGAGGGAGAAGGGCGGGGGGATGGGGGAGCGGAAAGGTCAGCGGGAGGACGGGGAGGATGGGGGAGCAGGAGGAGCGAGAGGAGGGAAACGCGGAGAAAGAGGGTAAGGATGATGACGGCAGTCGTGTGCCCTTGGAGGGCTGGACCTCCAAAAGGCACGCGACGGGGGGCAGCGCCGCCTGCGTCTGCTCCGCCGGCGGCTGCGCCTCCGCGGGCTGCCCGGCTTGGTCCTGCGCCGCAGCCAGGCCACTCTGCCGAGCTGTCCTTGCCGAGGACTCCTCCTCCTCCTCCTCCTCTGCGGCCGCCTGCTGTTCAGGCGTCGGCTCCGTCCCCACTGGCTGCTCCTCGCGAGGGTCCACCTCTCTCGGGAGGAGCAGCAGTAGCAGCACCAGCACCAGCACCAGCAGCAGCAGCAGCAGCAGCAGCAGCAGCAGCAGCAGCAGCAACAGCAGCAGCAGCAGCAGCAGCAGCAGCAGCAGCAGCAGCAGCAGTTGCAGCAGCAGCAGCAGCAGCAGCAGCCTCAGCAGCAGCCTCAGCAGCAGCAGGCGGGGGAGAACAGAGGGAGATGGGGAGGTAGAGGTCGAACCGAGGGAGAAGGGCGGGGGGATGAGGGAGCGGATAGGGGAGCGGGAGGACGGGGAGGATGGGGGAGCAGGAGGAGCGAGAGGAGGGGAACGAGGAGAAAGAGGGTAAGGATGATGACGGCAGTCGTGTGCCCTTGGAGGGCTGGACCTCCAAAACGCACGCGACGGGGGGCCGCGCCGCCTGCGCCTGCTCCGCCGGCGGCTGCGCCTCCGCGGGCTGCCCAGCTGGGTCCTGTGCCGCAGCCAGGCCACTCCGCCGAGCTGCCCTTGCCGAGGACTCTTCCTCCTCCTCCTCGTCTGCGGCCGCCTGCTGTTCAGGCGTCGGCTCCGTCCCCACTTGCTGCTCCTCGCGAGCGTCCACCTCTCTCGGGAGGAGCAGCAGTAGCAGCAGCAGCAGCAGCAGCAGCAGCAGCAGCAGCAGCAGCAGCAGCAGCAGCAGCAGCAGCAGCAGGTGGGGGAGAACAGAGGGAGATGGGGAGGTAGAGGTCGAACCGAGGGAGAAGGGCGGGGGGATGGGGGAGCGGAAAGGTCAGCGGGAGGACGGGGAGGATGGGGGAGCAGGAGGAGCGAGAGGAGGGAAGCGAGGGGACACGCGACGGGGGGCCGCGCCGCCTGCGTCTGCTCCGCCGGCGGCTGCGCCTCCGCGGGCTGCCCAGCTGGGTCCTGCGCCGCAGCCAGGCCACCCCGCCGAGCTGCCCTTGCCGATGACTCCTCCTCCTCTGCGGCCGCCTGCTGTTCAGGCGTGGGCTCCGTCCCCACTGGCTGCTCCTCGCGAGGGTCCACCTTTCGCAGCAGCAGCAGCAGCAGCAGCAGCAGCAGCAGCAGCAGCAGCAGCAGGTGGGGGAGAACAGAGGGAGATGGGGAGGTAGAGGTCGAACCGAGGGAGAAGGGCGGGGGGGTGGGGGAGCGGAAAGGTCAGCGGGAGGACGGGGAGGATGGGGGAGCAGGAGGAGCGAGAGGAGGGAAACGAGGATAAAGAGGGAAAGGATGATGACGGCAGTCGTGTGCCCTTGGAGGGCTGGACATCCAAAACGCACGCGACGGGGGGCGGCGCCGCCTGCGTCTGCTCCGCCGGCGGCTGCGCCTCCGCGGGCTGCCCGTCTGAGTCCTGTGCCGCAGCCAGGCCACCCCGCCGAGCTGTCCTTGCCGAGGACTCCTCCTCCTCCTCTGCGGCCGCCTGCTCTTCAGGCGTCGGCTCCGTCCCCGCTGGCTGCTCCTCGCGAGGGTCCACCTCTCTCGGGAGGAGCAGCAGTAGCAGTAGCAGCAGCAGCAGCAGCAGCAGCAGCAGCAGCAGCAGCAGCAGCAGCAGCAGCAGCAGCAGCAGCAGCAGGTGGGGGAGAACAGAGAGAGATGGGGAGGTAGAGGTCGAACCGTGGGAGAAGGGCGGGGGGGTGGGGGAGCGGAAAGGGGAGCGGGAGAACGGGGAGGATGGGGGAGCAGGAGGAGCGAGAGGAGGGCAACGAGGAGAAAGAGGGTAAGGATGATGACGGCAGTCGTGTGCCCTTGGAGGGCTGGACCTCCAAAAGGCACGCGACAGGGGGGCCGCGCCGCCTGCGTCTGCTCCGCCGGCGGCTGCGCCTCCGCGGGCTGCCCGGCTGGGTCCTGCGCCGCAGCCAGGCCACTCCGCCGAGCTGCCCTTGCCGAGGACTCCTCCTCCTCTGCGGCCGCCTGCTGTTCAGGCGTGGGCTCCGTCCCCACTGGCTGCTCCTCGCGAGCGTCCACCTTTGGCAGCAGCAGCAGCAGCAGCAGCAGCAGCAGCAGCAGCAGCAGCAGGCGGGGGAGAACAGAGGGATATGGGGAGGTAGATGTCGAACCGATGGAGAAGGGCGGGGGGATGTGGGAATGGAAAGGGGAGCGGAAGGACGGGGTGGGGGAGCAGGAGGAGCGACAGGAGGGAAACGATGATAAAGAGGGAAAGGATGATGACGGCAGTCGTGTGCCCTTGGAGGGCTGGACCTCCAAAAGGCACGCGACGGGGGGCCGCGCCGCCTGCGTCTGCTCGGCCGGCGGCTGCGCCTCCGTGGGCTGCCCAGCTGGGTCCTGTGCCGCAGCCAGGCCACTCCGCCGAGCTGCCCTTGCCAAGGACTCCTCCTCATCTTGCTCCGCGGCCGCCTGCGCTTTGGTCGCTTCGGGCTGTGCCTCGGTGGGCAGGGCCCCCAGGTCCTGTGCCACAGGAGTCTCCGCCGCTGCAGGCTGACCTGGCAAGGAGTACTCACTGAGCTGTTGCGCAGTAGATTGCTGTTCCGCGGGGGGCTGTGCCACGGGGGGGTCCGCCGAGGGGGAAACAGTCGTTTCGGGCTGCTCGGGCTGTGCCTCCTCCTCCAACCAATCAGCCAAGTCCATTGCCGCAGAGGGCTCCACTGTCGGAGGCTGCGGATTGCGCTCGGCCTCCTCCTTGGCTAAGCGCTCGGCCTCAGCCACACGGTTGGCCTCAACCACACGCTCAGCCTCTGCCGCGCGCTCAGCCTCTTCTTTGGCCGCGTGCTCGGCCTCCTCCTTGGCCAAGCGCTCGGCCTCGGCCACACGATCCTCCTCCGCCTTGCGCTCGCGCTCGGTCGCCTCCTTGGCCAAGCGCTCCTCCTCCGACTGCCGCTCGGCCTCCTCCTTGGCCACACGCTCGGCCTCGGCCACACGTTCCTCCTCCGCCTTGCGCTCGGCCTCCTCCTTGGCCAAGCGCTCAGCCTCCGCGATGCGCTCGGCCTCCTCCTTGGCCAAGCGCTCGGCTTCGGCCACACGGTCCGCCTCCGCCTTGCGCTCGGCCTCCTCCTTGGCCAGGCGCTCGGCCTCCTCCTTGGCCAAGCGCTCGGCCTCCGCGATGCGCTCGGCCTCCTCCTTGGCCACGCGCTCAGCTTCGGCCACACGGTTCTCCTCCGCCTTGCGCTCGGCCTCCTCCTTGGCCAAGCGCTCGACCTCCGCGATGCGCTCGGCCTCCTCCTTGGCCAAACGTTCCTCCTCCGCCTTGCGCTCGGCCTCCTCTTTGGCCAAACGCTCGGCTTCGGCCACACGGTCTGCTTCCGCCTTGCGCTCGGCCTCCTCCTTGGCCAAACGCTCGGCCTCCTCCTTGGCCACACGCTCGGCCTCTGCAACACGCTCGGCCTCCTCCTTGGCCAAGCGCTCGGCCTCCGCGATGCGCTCGGCCTCCTCCTTAGCCAAGCGCTCGGCTTCGGCCACACGGTCCTCCTCCGCCTTGCGCTCGGCCTCCTCCTTGGCCAAGCGCTCGGCCTCCGCGATGCGCTCGGCCTCCTCCTTGGCCAAACGTTCCTCCTCCGCCTTGCGCTCGGCCTCCTCTTTGGCCAAACGCTCGGCTTCGGCCACACGGTCCGCTTCCGCCTTGCGCTCAGCCTCCTCCTTGGCCAAGCGCTCGGCCTCCTCCTTGGCCAACGCTCGGCCTCTGCAACGCTCGCCCTCCTCCTTGGCCAAGCGCTCGGCCTCCGCGATGCGCTCGGCCTCCTCCTTAGCCAAGCGCTCGGCTTCGGCCACACGGTCCTCCTCCGCCTTGCGCTCGGCCTCCTCCTTGGCCAAGCGCTCGGCCTCCGCGATGCGCTCGGCCTCCTTGGCCAAACGTTCCTCCTCCGCCTTGCGCTCGGCCTCCTCTTTGGCCAAACGCTCGGCTTCGGCCACACGGTCCGCTTCCGCCTTGCGCTCAGCCTCCTCCTTGGCCAAGCGCTCGGCCTCCTCCTTGGCCAAACGCTCGGCCTCTGCGCTCGGCCTCCTCCTTGGCCAAGCGCTCAGCCTCCGCGATGCGCTCGGCCTCCTCCTTGGCCAAGCGCTCGGCTTCGGCCACACGGTCCTCCTCCGCCTTGCGCTCGGCCTCCTCCTTGGCCAAGCGCTCGGCCTCCGCGATGCGCTCGGCCTCCTCCTTGGCCAAACGCTCGGCCGCCGCGATGCGCTCGGCCTCCTCCTTGGCCAAGCGCTCGGCCTCCGACTTGCGCTCGGCCTCCTCCTTGGCCAAACGCTCGGCCTCGGCCACACGGTCCGCCTCCGCCGTGCGGTCGGCCGCCTCCTTGGCCAAACGTTCCTCCTCCGCCTTGCGCTCGGCCTCCTCCTTGGCCAAGCGCTCGGCCTCCGCTTTGCGCTCGGCCTCCTCCTTGGCCAAACGCTCAGCCTCCACCTTGCGCTCGGCCTCCTCCTTGGCCAAACGTTCCTCCTCCGCCTTGCGCTCGGCCTCCTGCTTGGCCAAGCGCTCGGCATCCGCCTTGCGCTCGGCCTCCTCCTTAGCCAAGCGCTCATCCTTCGCCTCGGCGCCCTCGTCCTTCGCCAAGAAAGCTTCCTTGGCCGCCTGCTATGGGGAAGGGCACGCACTGTACCCGCCTCCTCCAGTCTACACGCACCTCCACTCCCACCCCTCCGCTTTGATAGTCACAGCGTTCCGCTGGGCGGAGGTGGTTTAGAACGTGTCCTCGTCCATATTACCTCTTCCCCCCTTCGGGGAAAGGCTTACCCCTCCGGTTACGTCTCTCCGATGTTCATCTGCTGCGTCTCCTCTGTAATTCATTAGCCTCCAAGATGGCGCCGAGACGGCCCGAAAAGCCCCACAGAGAGCCACAAGATGGCCCCAAGAGGCCTGCATGAGGTCTCCAGGATGCCTCAAGACGTCTCGAAGAGGCTCCCAAGCGGCCCCCAGGATGCCCCAAGAGGCCCCAGGGGGCCCCCAGGACGCCCCAAGAGGCTTCTGATGGGCCCCCAGGAGGCACCCCACGAGACCCGAGCAGAAATCCAGGGGGCCGCTGGCCCGCTGAGGCTACCCGAGGTATCCTGATGATGCCACGCTCCCGCAAGACAACCAGCTACCCTGGGCGGCGTTCCTGAATGGGCTGGTAGGGTGCGCGGAGCGTTCAGGCTATTTTTGTGGAGGGCGTGGGGATGGAGGAGTACGCCGACCGTCCCGAAGGAGGAAGAGAAGGGGAATAGAGAAGCAACAACGTACACACATAACACTGTTGGCGGTCCGCGCGGACTTCTTGGATTGGCGCTGGACACCCTCCTTGGCGCGCGGCCACCGCGCCAGGGGCGACGGCGGAGGCACCGCCAGGGGGCCTCTCCAACGCCGATTCAGGAAATCCGCGCGGGCCTCGAACAGGTACAGTCGAGGCGCTGACTTAAGGAACCCCAGAGCAGGAACGAAGGCCCCTTGTTCCATACATTGAACTTCGATCTCCCTTGGGAAACCTCAAGAGGCATAAGGCGAATTGTAAACCAATCAAGGGACACCGAGCAACCAACGAAAAGGGTTCCTTCGTCAGCGCCCCGACTGTATGCCATCTTGCCTCCCGAGGAAAGTTGTTGTTCCTACCCCGAGGCTGCGGGCAAGCCTTGTGTTCTTATCCACACCAGCTTGGAGTTCGGGCGCCTTTCCCCAGAAACCCGAGGCGCACTGGACATGGACAACTCTGGCCCCCAGAGGCTCGACCTTTATCCCTATCCAGTGCGCCTCGGCCTCGTGACGCCCATTCCAAGAAAATCCAAGGCGCACTGGATATGGTAGGTTCGCGTGGCGGCGGAGCGCGCATGGTTTGTGACACCGCGTCGATGGTTCAACCTTGAATCGATCGCGGCCCCGATCGTTCAAGGTTGAATTCCGTCGGGCCCGGTGGCGCTACAGTGTCCCTCGGTGTACCCGCGTCGAAGAATGCAGTCTTGAACGCCTTCGCCAGCGTAGCCGGCGCGCCAACCCCGCGTGCACCTACCGTATGGATACAGTGAAAACGTGTAGTAAGGACGCGTGGTAAGGATGCAAGACCCTTGGGGGCCGAAGTTGAAGTATTCTGGGCGGCAGGCGGCAGGCCGCAGAGGCTGAGGCAGGCAAGGACCCAAGGGTACCCTTGAAAAAGTCGCTTGTCCTTACTATGCGCGTCGGCTGTACAAATCTTGCCCTCAGAGAAGCGCAGGGGTCCTGCGACGCGGACGGCTCCGCTGCTGCGGGCTGCGCCGCCGAAGGCTGCTCTGCGGTGGGCTCGTCCTCCGCTCCGGGCTGCGCCGGCTCCGTCTGCGCCTCCGAGGGCGGGGCCGCGCGGCCCTGGTCCGCAGAGTGCTCCACGGCCGGAGGCTGCGCTGCAGAGGGCTGCTCCGCCGTGTGGTGGTGATGGTGATGGTCTGGAGAAAAGAAAAAGGCACAACACACAGACATTTGGAGCTCCGCACGGATTTCTTGGATCTGCGCTGGGGCACCCCCTTCCCTGGCGCGCGGAGCGCGCCAGGGGCGGCGTCGGCGTCGCCGCCGATGGGTTCCAGCGCAAATCCAAGAACTCCGCGCGGAGCGTCGAATATTTGTGCTCAGGTCTTTTTGTATTCTTCGATGGTGGTGGTGGTGGATTTCCGTGGGGGGCTGCTGCGCCGGGAGCTGCGACTCCACCCCTCGGGGCAACTCCTCCTCGGGCTGCGCCTCCGCGGCGGGGGCCGCGAGGGCCCGCGCCGCAGCAGGATCCCCAGCCGGAGGCTGCTGCGCCGCGGGGGGCTGCTCTGCAAGGGGGGGCCGCTCCTCCGCCGAGGGTTGCACGCAAGCCGCTGCAAGAATCTCCTGCGACGGCTCGGCGGGTGCGGGCTCTGTGGCTGTCTGCTGCGCGGCAAGCGGTTGTTCTGCAGGCGTCCGTGCCGCAGGGGGCTCCGCCGCTTCTGGCTGCCCTGCTTCGGGCTGCGCCTCTTCCGGCTGTGCCTCTGTGGATGGGGGCACCACCTCCTGTGCCCCAGAGGGCTCCGCCACCGAAGGCTGCGCCGTCGCAGACTCATCCAGCGGGGAATGACGCTGGTGGTGGTGATGGTGGTGATGGTGATGGTGGTGATGTGCCGTCGGGGGCCGTGCCTCCGCCCCTGGGGCCAGCTCCGCCTCGGGCTGTGCTTCTGTGGGCTCGGCTGCCAGGTCCTCTTCCGCAGCAGGCTCCGCTGCCAGAGGCTGCGACGCGGGAGGTTGCTTCGCCGGGGGACGCTCCTCGGCTTCTGGCTGCGCTTCCTCGGGCTGGGCCCCCGTGGGCGGGGCCACGCGACCCAGTGCCGCAGAAGGCTCCGCACCAGGAGCCTGGCCCGCCGAGGCCTGCTCTGCTGAGGGCTGCTCCTCCGCTTCGGGCTTTGCATCCTCGGGCTGCGTCTCTGTAGGGATGGTCGCCGGGTCCTGCTCTGGAGAGGACTCCACAGCAGGAGACTGCGTCGGCAAAAGCTGCTCCGCGAGGGGCGCCTCCGCTCTGAGCTGCGCCTCCTCGGAGCGCACCTCTGTGGATGCGGCCGCTGGGTCCTGCTCTGGAGAGGGCTCCACAGCCGCAGGCTGCGCCGCGGAGGGTCGCTCTGCCTGAAGCTGATCACTCGCACATGGCTGCGCGGAAACCGCTGTGGGCGCCTCATGCGACGGCGCTGCGGGTGCGGGCGCTGCTGCTGCCTGCCGCGCAGCCGTTGGCTGTTCGGTCGGCGTGTCTGCCGCCGAGGGGGCCTCCACCGCTGCGGGCTGCGCTTCCTCAACTTGCGCCTCGTCCAGCCAATCCGCTAGGTCCTGCGCTGGTGGATTCTCTGCCTCCACCGTGCGCTCAGCCTCCTTGGAAATGCGCTCAGCCTCCGCCACGCGCTGGGCCTCCTCCTTGGCCAAAAGCTCGGCCTCCGCCACTCGCTCAGCCTCCTCCTTGGCCAAACGCTCGGCCTCCGCGACGCGCTCGGCTTCCTTCTTGGCCAAGCGCTTGACCTCCTCCTCCGCCTTGCGCTCGGACTCCTCCTTGGACACACGTTCCTCCTCCGCCTTGCGCTCGGACTCCTCCTTGGCCAACCGCTCGGCCTCTGCGACGCGCTCGGCCTCGGCAACACGCTCGGCCTCCTCCTTGACCAGGCGCTCGGCCTCCGCCTCGCGCCCGGCCTCCTCCTTGGCCACACGCTCTGACTCTGCTGCGCGCTCGGCCTCCGCCTTGCGCTCCGCCTCCTCCTTTGCCACGCGCTCGGCCTCAGCAGCACGCTCGGCCTCCTCCTCGGCCAAGCGCTCGGCCTCAGCCACACGCTCGGCCTCCGCCCGGCGGCGCTCCGCCTCCTCCCTGGCCCAGCGCTCGGCCTCCGCCCCGCGCCCGGCCTCGGCCAGGCGCTCGGCCTCCGCCGCGGGCGGCGGCGCCGCGGGCGCCTGCGCCGCGCCCGGCGGCGCCTTGCTGGTCTTCTTGTGCGGCCGCACGGTCGCCGCGCCGACGCCCTGCAGGTCGGTCGTCAGCCCCCTGGGCAGCAGGCGCCGCGCGAGGCCGCCCGCCGCGGCGTGGCCGCGCGCCACCGCGGCGAGCGGCAGGCGCACGGTGAAGCCCAGGAGCACGTAGCGCAGCTCGCACTTCTCCTCTCGGCGGCGAGCGCGGGGGGGGGGGAGCGAGAAGGAGAAGGCCTCCTCGGAAGGGTCGGAGGCCCCCCCGGCGGTCCGAGGGGTGTCCTGAGCCTTCCCCCGGAGACGCAGGACAACTTCTCGGAAGGCGCGAGGGCTTCTGAGAAGCCCCGCCGCCTTCGGAGAGGGCATTCTGCTTCTCTCACTTCCCCCCCTCGCTCGCCGCCGATCCTCGTCGACCTCCACTCGCAGCGGGAAGAGGAACAGCGTGACGAGAACAATGGCGGACCACTGGAGGACGTTGACTGCGCTGAAGACTCCAGTGGCCCAGTCGACTCGCTCCAGGGCGTCGCACGACGCCTCCGACACGTAGATGGAGTGCACAACACACGCCAGCATCAGGGACGAGCAGGCCAGCACGGCGATGTGGAAGCCCTGGCTCACGCTGTAGACCCTGGCCAGGACCATCTCTGGGGCGCGCCCCGGCGGAGTGAATAGAGTTGGCAACGGACACAGGTGATATGCAGAGGCTGGGAATCAGAAGCCCCTTCAGCCAAAAAGGCTGCGAGTAGGGACGAGGCGCATCATGTCGCAATGAGCTGGCTGGAAGTTGGCCTCAGCCTGAGTCAGGGTTCGCTTTCGAGCACGGGTTGCCCAGGATACGGGGGATAGATGAGTCACACTGCCTGGGGTCCAGGGCGCAGCGACATTGGAGCTCCAGTCCATGGGGGCTGCACATCTAGGCCAGTCCAGGTGGGTTTTGCCTGGCAGGAATGCCAGGCTGGGGCGGCGGAGAGGGAAGTCAAGTGCAGACTCGAGTGTTCTGCACACCGAGCGAGTACTTTTAGCAGTGCCACTCAACATCCGCCGACGCCCCAGGGAGTGGCGCAAGGCCGCGAAGCGTGCTGCTGGGTCGCTGTCCTAAACTGTGTACGTGTGTGTGTGTGTGCGTGTGTGTGTGTGTGTGTGTGTGTGCTGAGTTGCGCGTCTTGCCTCCAGCCTACTCTATGCTGCCTTTGCGAGGGGAAGCTCGCGACACCCGAGAAGCCTGCAGGTCGCAGCGGCGAGGATCCACACCGCGCTCGAGGGCAGCCGAGGGAGGAGACTACGGGGCCGAACTTGGGCACCCCGGGCGGGGGGAGGGAAAAGGGCGCGCGCGGAGGGGAGAGGAGCAGGCTCCAAGCATCACAATGCTTCGACGTGTGTGTGTGTGTGTGCCGGAGCACGAGCGCATGACACGCAAACACATTGCAGTGGGGGCGTTGACCTAAGGAACCCTAGGTACGGAAGGGGCCCCCCTTCCTCCATCAGTGAAGCTTCGATCTCCAGTGGAAGACCTAGGGAACATCTGAGGCAAGCTGTGGAACAAAGATGGAGGAACACGGAGCCCCTCCCCAACGGAAAGGGCTCCTTCTTCAGCGCCCCGACTGTAGCGTGTCTGCCTCGGCATGGATTGCCGCAAGGTTGCCACAGGGACGCCACTATACGGCCAAGAGGGCCCAAGAGTCCTCCAGGACGGCCCCGCAAAAAAGCGCCGAAGAGGGTTCCGAGAGCCCTTCAAGAGGCCTTACAAGAGAATTCACAACCTGGGCACGTTGGCGGGACGGGCCGGAAATCAGTAGCTGGATCGCAGTGTGCCCGCCTTCTCGGCGTCTGGCGTGCAACTGATGCCACGCGGATGGCGTAACAAGTATCGGCCACGCATGAAGCTGACTGTTCCCGTGGTCGGCTCAGCCTGTGTCCACCAA